CTCAACAGGATTTCCAAGAAATCCAATGCTTACTAAATCTGTTTGTTTGTCGGATTTTAATGACAATTTATATAATCTAAATTTCGAAATTAGGTATATGAACGAAAAATGATAAATAATTGCCAAATCTGTCTGATTTTCATCGGAAAACTTGAAAAATAATAGTGTAAATGAAGAAGAACAGTAAATACATATCTTTTTATTTAAAAGAATGAACGAAGACGAAATCTGAAGACAAAATTTGTTGAAGAAGAACACCATTAAAAGAAAAGAAAAGAAGACTGAAAAAGAAAAAGTCCTTAAAGAGTGTCTCATGAAAATGACTTGGAGTTGGAGTGCTGGGAGAAGTAAATATAATAGCGGCAACAATAAACAAGACTGCTTACCTAATTAATTTAATAATTTATATATATGATCTTTAGGTTTATAATGGACATCAGAGTTAAATGTCGGGTTGCAGGAAGAGAAAAGGTGGGGTGCAAGAAGAAGGCCTTTTTGTTCTTTTAGGAGTTGAAATCTGGTGAGCCCATGAGACGAAGCCCAGAAATAAAAATTAGAGAGAAAGAGAAAGTGAGGGCGTTGATTGTGGAAGAATAATAAAACGGAGATGGGTGGCAGAAGGTTGAAAAACAGAGAAACCATGGGCGTTGAATCGGTGGCGCCGTCGCCGCCACCTCCGAGATCGGAAGGAAAAACCGCTTTGCTCCAAAACCCCAAGATAGCCTTCTCACTGGCTCTTCTCTTCGCTGACGCTCTCCTCGTCACTCTCATAATCGCGTTTGTACCTTGTAAGTTTCAGTTTCCACACCCTCCCCTTCAAAAGTTCAATTCATCGCAATTGATATACGACGGCGTTTTATGCTTTCAGATACGAAGATAGATTGGGACGCTTACATGTCACAGGTTAGCGGATTTCTCGAAGGGGAGAGAGACTTCCGCAACCTCAAAGGCGACACTGGTCCTCTCGTCTACCCTGCTGGCTTTCTCTACATTTACTCTGCATTTCAGTATCTTACCCAAGGACAAGTTTACCCTGCTCAGGTCACGCATTCAAATTCTTCTATTTCTCATTCTACTTAATTTTCAATAAACCAAGTAATTCATCATGTCTTTCTCTTTTCTCGTTGCAGATTCTGTTTGGTGTATTGTACATCATTAACTTAGCAATCGTTCTCGCCATCTATGTCAAAACTGATGTGGTAAGGATACAAATTTTCTCTGACTAATTGCTGATATCCATTCTCACTGCTTTTGTAAACTCAATTTTCTATCAGGTTCCTTGGTGGGCCCTTTGCTTGCTTTCTCTATCCAAGAGAGTTCATTCCATCTTCGTGCTTCGTCTGTTTAATGACTGTGTGGCCATGACACTTCTTCATGCTGCATTACTCTTACTTGTGCACCGAAGGTGGAATCTTGGGTTGATTGTGTTTAGGTAAATGCTCTCATGCTATAGTTATGTTTTTTGTTGTTGTAAGGATAAAATGTTTACGGAGCTTCTGGCAATTATCTGTTAGTGGAGCTGTTTCTGTAAAGATGAACGTGCTTCTTTATGCTCCACCTTTACTGGTCCTCATGCTGAAGGTACGTATATACGTGCAATATTTATAGTCAGGGTATGTTGACATCTTTTTCTTTGTCTACTTACATCGTAATGCTCATGTATCCCGCTTTCTTCACGCACATGCAGGCTATGGATTTCAGTGGCGTGTTATTGGCATTAGCTTGGGCAGCAGCTGTTCAGGTCCCTTGCATTTCATTTTCCTTTGTATATTTATAATTTGAAAGACAATAATTGCACGCGTTGTTATTTATAGAATGCATAAATTTGGGTGTCTGATGGTTGGCTATTTTTTGTTTTAAAACAATCTTTCCGTATTAGCAGGTGAGTTTCTCTTCTCGGGCCTCAAGCTTGTTTGATTCTCTAGAGTCTGCAATGTCCAATTTTGGTAAGGCCAGTTAACTCTAGTATGGTTAACTTCTGCCGTAGATATTACTGGGGCTTCCTTTCCTGGTTTCATATCCAGTTGCGTACATATCGAGCGCCTTCAATCTTGGTCGCGTCTTCATCCATTTCTGGTACCTATTTTATAAGTGTGCCCTTTATGTTTGCTTGATATGATAACCATGATTCCGAAAACAAATTTAGCTTTTAGTATAATCTGAAACCCTTTTTTCCTGTGGTCAAAGCGATGATGTGTGGTAGACAGGCAATATTGCAGATAATAGTATCTAAAGTTTTATTTTCTGCAACGATCATCTGCCACATTCTGGCACTAAGGAACATAAACTAATAAGCTACTGAAGATATGGTATCTTATATTGGGGGTGATTAGATACGCTGCTTACGTTTTTCAGGTTGAACTTGTGACTAGTGCCTAAAATATAATTCGTAAGACATGCCTATGTCTATAACTTTGATATATTCATGTGATAATGCCTGCATTCATCCATGTCCTCATTTATATATTATTGTTCTTTATTTGTAAAGCGATTCACACAAAAAGAAAATGTAAACGTTATACTAAAGCTTTCCTTAATGTTTTGACCTAAGTGAAAAATCTGCTTCTATGTGAGCAACACACTATACTCCCTTGTGAAAGCCTGGTTGGAAGCTAATTTAGAATCGTACTTGTTAAGAAGTGGACTTTAAGCCTAACTCAATTCCACCAAACCGGTTTGGTTTGATGGTGAGGTATACACCCACTTATATATTCTAAATTAGCTTTATCTCTAATCGATATGGAACTTCCAACACCTCTCTCACCAACACCCCCCTCACGTCGAGATATATACATCTCGAGCATGAGAACAACAAATATCGCCAAAATAGGCTCGAACCTGACTCTGATATCATATTAAGAAGTGGACTTTAAGTCTAACTCAAGCCTATAAAACCAGCTTGTAAAGTGAGGTGTGCACCATTTATATATTCTAAATTGGTCTTATCTCTATTCGATGTGAGACTTCCAACGGTACGAAAAATAGAATTTTTCAGATCTGGGTTTTGGTCAGTAAGGAGTTCCGGCTAATGGTATTACATGTACCATTTAACTTAATTGGGACACCACCTATTTCATTTCAATTTAAAGCTCAAAGGGGGTCGGAGTAGTATACTGAAGTTGATGTATTCAGTTTATAGTATCTTTAATTTTGAGAAACTGTATTTTACCCTTTCTTATGTGGTCTCAGTTAGATGTTTCCTGATGTATTATTTCAATTTATGTTATCAGGTCTGTTAACTTCAAATTCATCCCTGAGCCAGTATTTGTGTCCAAGGGATTTGCGGTCTTTTTGTTGGCTGCTCACCTCATATTACTTGCTTCATTTGCGCATTATAGTTGGTGCAAGTATGTATAAAGGTTTATTTTTCTTTTAATTTTTTCAATACAGAAAATGCTAGGAACCCCCTTCAACTATAGGTTAATTGCTGAAAAGCCCTCCTTGGTTTAAAACTCAGTAAGACTTCTTGAACTTCAAACTTACAGATGCTTTATGCACATACATGAGGGGTTCAGTTCATTCTAGCTGCACAATCTTTTAAATTCAGGGAGGTGAGTTTTGAAGGTTTTTTGCTATTAACCTATATAGTAGGGGGTTGTATTTGTAATTTGGAAAAGAAAACTTAATATATCTTGTCAAGTCATAGATTTAATAAGTTCTTTTTCTTCTGTTTGACCAATAAATAATGAGAACCGGCAATCATTTTTATTTTGTGGTACCAAATGTTGGACAGTGACGTGTCAACAAAATCATAAATAGGTGTCATAGTCTTGCAGAGATGAGAATGCTGTGTTGATGAGTATACTTACTACTAGAATAGATAAGACGATGCATGAATGAATTAGAGAGAAAGTAGGAGTAACTGTTATTCAGGGGAAAATGGTAGGAATGTATCTAAGATGGTTTGGCCATGTTGGGAGATGATAGACTCAAATGAATAGAGTTGATTAGATAGAGGATAGCTTAAGATTGACTTGGATCTAAAACA